TAATTAAATATTCTTTAAACATTTAAAAGGATATTCAAGCATTTTATGGCATGTTTAATGTTTGGAAATTAAAGTTGCAGGCTTTTTTCTTTCGTAGTAAAAATTGGATTGCACTGCAATAGTCCGTGAGTAGCTAAACGAAGAATTCAGTCTCATAATACAATTGACTGTCCTCAGTTTCATTTACAGTATTGCTACACCTTTGTTTTTGGTGAGGGAATTTAGTTCCACAAGTTGAGTTACAGGTTATTTGGCAAATTAAAAGTGTGTGAATGTAACATTTTTGGAGATCTTTTGCTAGCTGCGACAAAATGTTACTCATAAGACATCAAGTAGTCCCGAAACATCTGTTGCCATAATGTTCCAGACCATTTAGATAATATATCTGTCAGGTAGTATATGGTTCAGTGAAAAAGTCTGCAATTGCAGCTTAACAACTTATCATTTATAGAAACGTGTTTTTATAGTGGTAAAGCTGCACTCGCTTTGTGGGGCAATAGCGAGACAATTCCTAAATACAAGTAAATATTTTAATACGGTGTTTAACAAAAACACTCAATTTTTTAATCAAATACTACTTGCTCATTCTGTCACTTTCCCATTTTAATATCAGCTCTAAATACATGTTTTTGACAAATAATGGTTTTCCTAAGACTTTTATTTACTAATGCAAATAGAGAATAGTAATTCTCCAGCAATGGTTTGTGGAACTCCTCTTTCACAGTATTAGTTTTGCAAATTCGGCCTCAAGCCACGGGTAGCAAGCAGATTCAAAATGACCCCAAGGGATTTGTAAGAGCAAGGCAAAATTTTCAATTGTTATTTGAAAGTGTCCATCTCTAAGTCTCCTAAATTTTGGAATAAAATGGATGGAAAACAGGCAAACCACTGAAAATGTTTTAGTGAAATCATTTCCTGTTTGGGGAATTCTGCAGAAACCAGAGTGAGGGGGTTGGTTTTGCCTTTCCTTCTTATGCACTCGTTCACAAGCATCGTGCAGGAACATTGGCGCCTCAAGGTTTCATTCACTTTAAGCAGAACATTAGATGCCGCCTTCAAGGAATCCTGTGGATAGCTGGAAACAAACGTTTGATGGAATCGGTTGTGAACAATTAGCTTAAGTTTGTTGTTTGATCTCATTTAATTTCAGGTCTGAGCGATTGAACTGTAATGTGCCAATTCTGTCCAGGACACTGCTACAAATGAGATCCAGAAGTACCAGCTGCCTTGGGGTAGGCCACGTGAGTTGCAAACCTGGAAATGGCTTAGAAATGATCAAGACAATCACTAAAAGTTGAATTCTGGAAATCAGGGACCATTGAACATGGCCATTTCAAAGCAATGGGGACGAAAGACATTATTTTAAAATTGCTGAGCAAGAACATAGCTCAGGTAAGATGAACTAACAATAAGTTCAGAAGCAACTGACAAAGGGAAACGACTCTGTCAGAAGGCACTTCTCTAAAGTTTACCAATGTTTCTGGTAATTAAATATCAGTTCTTTCAATTAGTCTCAATGCTTTGGAGTAGGAAAGGGGAAAAAGCAGCCAAAGTTCCTACTCCTGATCTGCAGCCAGGGACCACTGATGGAGATTATTGTCTGTGGACATTGAACAAGTATAGTATCAAACTTTTGATGCGATGCTACTCATGGTCAAATAACCTACTGCCATTTAGTATTGATGGGCCAGACATTTGGTCGAGGTAGTGGTGATCATCAGGCAAATGCAGAACCACTTTTATTGGAAGAGAACATTCTTGCAGAAAATCAGCAAGAGGGGGGAAAAAAAGATCAGTTTGAAAGCTCTGATTGACATTCATTCGCATCTAATTCAGCTAATTTCCATCATTTCTTTTCTTGACTGTTCCAGCCTTCTCCTCATATGACCTGAGAAAATGGACCCATTGTGAAAAGAACAGTTAAGCAGCAATTAGCAGATTAAACAGTATAAGACTTCCTGTTGCACTAACCATTTGTTTCTACTTCAACTGAAGCAATGATCGAATTATTCTTACGACTAACCTCTGAAAAGTGTAGAGGTTCAGTCTGGTAATTGAGCAACATGTTAAAATATTACTTTTATTTCAGCTCTCATGTACAGTAGCATTGCTGATTCCAGCAGGTCTGAAAAAAAAGTTCATAAGGTTATTTCGGATGAAGAAGGCCCTTTGGTTCACCTGAAACATTGACAGCAGCATTTTCATTTACACTAAGTTTACATAGAAACGGGGGGTGGGGGGCATTTGGTGTGGCTGAAGTTTAGAATATAAAAGTGCTGAACACTGTAGTATGAACATGATTGGCACACTGGAACAATAAGGAACACAAGATTCTGTGATCCGAAATGGCTCTGTATATTGTGGAGTCCTGTAGCTCAGTGGTTAGAGCACTCGCTTTGCAAGTGAGAGACCTGAGTTCAATTCCAGGCAGGTCAGGGCGAAACCTTGGGCAAGTTTCCTTACTCCACACGCCTAATAATAATCCCTCCAAAAACCAAAAACAATAATAAATTGGTCATTTTCAATCTACGACTGTTTGTGGGACATTGCTGTGCGCAATTGGCTGCCGCGTTCACCCACAAATATACAGTCAGTTCACTTTACAGTGTGTTCTGTGAAGCGCTTTGGGACGTCCTCCCGACGTGAAAAGCGCTATATCAAATGCAAGGATTATTATTATTATTATAAAACTTAAAGACAAAAGTCAAGTTCGCAGAGCACTCCAATCCTATAATGGGTAGCCATTTTTAAAGCGAATTTATGTTATTTGTCAATACAAGGTTATTATGCATATTTTAAGGTGTAATCAGTTGCTGCAAGGCTGTATCTTAAAATGAGAGCTTGGAGTTTTATCAGCCACCCTCTCTGGAATGAACAGCAGCAAATTATTCTGCACAAATGTTTCACTGCCTAATGATCAAACTTAAAGATTGCCATCGGATATACTGAAAATAGAATCACAACTTTGAGACTGCAGTCTTAAAAAAATTGTGTTTTGAATCAATGAAATAATTATTGTGTTTCCAGACTGCCACTAGAGGTATATTATTACACTGTTTAGTGAAATTAATTCAGTTAAATCCACAAACAAGTTAAGATACCGCATAAAAATGACAAGTCTATCAAGTCTGCTCCTTTCACAGACCAACAGAAACCTTTTCAATCCTAGACTCTACATCACATACTATTTCCAGGGAAAGCTACACATAGATGGTTCCTGATCCCTAAAGGTAATTAAGACAAATCAGGAAATGAAATGATTTTTCCCGAGAGGCATTTATACCTACATTAAAAATGGACCATGTCTGGAATTTTGGTAAGTAATGTAACACGATTGAGAGCAACATTGTGTAAGTGGTGGTAATGTCTTAGTCATCAGTTACGAATGTCTGAATGTGCAGTGTTCATTCAAATGCTGGCTTTCTGTCTGCCAAATACAGGGCAATTACCTTTCAATAAATAAACAGACAGTAGTCAAAACAAATCGTGAGCACATATTTGGGAACATGCTACATTTCCATCTTAAATAATCCCTCGTTGCCATTATCAATCAAGTACAATTTCACACAAGAAACGATTTAAAAAACAGAATGCACTTGCAATTGCCTGTAGGTCAGAAAATAAAGCATTGTTTTATAACAAAATAAAGTACTAAGTTACACTAAACTGTATTCTTGTTGAATGATTGATCATTATCCAAGCCTCACAATTTAAGTACATGATAAAGTGATGGTTCATCTTAATTATACAGAGAAGCCTGAGGGAAGAGTGATTGGCACCACTCTGGCTGACCCTGATGAATCATCTGGATATTACGCCCTAAAGGTGAATAGTAAATTGTAAAAGTTGAGTACTCTGGGGTTAGTGATACATATTTCTTGGAAACCAGTCAATTGCGTACCAGGAAAGAGGTCGAGAATGTTCAATTATACAGTTTTTCAATATTTTCAGTTTTCTACAATAACATCCTTACATTTGGTATTTTGCGTCAGGAAAACGTCCCAAAGTGCTGCACAGGATACATTATAAAGTGTACTGATTGTGTGTCTTTTTTTTGCTGGTGAACACCCACAAAGCTGCTCTCTCTTCATTCATGGATTATGGGCCTCTTTTGTTATGCCGTTGAGAAAAGCTATCCTTGTTCTGAATGTTAGTTCAAAGCAATGAAAACTTGAAGGTGGCCCACTCTATGAAGGAATCCATCCTGCACATCAAAAGTGCAGCTGGACTGTCATTCTTCTGAAAAATTACTGTTGGAACATTACAAGCGTTACTCAGTGCTAAGAACACAAGAATACTGCAGCTGCAAAAACATCCATATCAATACTTAATCTCCTCTGTGGAACTGTCCTTTGTATGCATAGGTTCAAAATGCAGTTAAACGTTACCTGAAAATGTGCGAAAAAGCTAATGGATCTATGACTCACCTCTCAGTATCGCAATATAAACTCACCCCCTGGGCTTTCCACAAGTATTGGGGCCAAATTTGTGACATTCATGTTTACTGTTTAACTGGAAAGTCAGTGAACAATCATTTCACCAAGATCCTTTTCCTTCTTTGGACATCCCTTTACCTCCACACAATTCCGAGTTCCAGTGTGTAATATCTAAATATAAACCCACCCATCTATTAACTGTTTAGATCTCTCGGTGCTGATCAGTCTTCTGTTATCCTGGTAATTTACCTACTTAGATGGCATCACATCACATGCTTTCACTTTACAAGGTAGTATTTTCTTGGAGTTTTTACTAAATGAACAGTAAGGTACCTAAATCCAACAAATGTATAGTGAAACTAAGTAAAATTTTAGCTTTAAGGGCATTATTAACAACTTTACGTAAAGAATGATAAAGATGGTGGATGCTATAAGACCTGGGTCACACAGGTACCACTCCCCATGAAATGGAAGCACCTTTCAGAAAAGCTACATTAACTTTCACACCCCAGGTACCACAGTACTGCTATATAAAGTTTAGAAGTAAAACCAAAACCAATGAACTGAGGTTTAAATGCATTTTATTTACAACCTGCACAGACATGAAAGATAAGGAAGTCTAAAATTTTGGACACTTGCATCATTCTCTTGTGGCAGTTTTTCAATACGGATCACTGTTGGTTCACAATCTTCATCTTGTTGAATTCACAAACTATAGGCTTTACAGCAGTGTTCGATGCACTGTTAACCTGCTATTAAGCATGACAATTTGCTTACAACACTCCAGGTCAATACTGTATTCCACTTAGAAATAATCTTTAGAATAATTTAATAAGAAATAGTAGTTTGTTTCACTCTCCCTTTATTGAGTTTGTAATTTCATATCCTATGCTCTGATGGGTCTATAGCCTCCCTGTCCAAAGTAATCAGGATTCCAACATCCTTTATTAAAGGGTGCACTTAAGTTTAAGAACACTTTTGCACACAAATTGGTCGGTCTTCATTGCTGAGCTGCAAACATTTTAAAATTAAGTGTTTAATACTCATTATTAAAGACAATCAGCAATGTTTTTTTTTCACTCACATTTTGGCCATTTTTGAAAGGTAGGTCTAAACTATTGGTGACTTTAGGGCAACAGGATGACCATGGTGTGGGTCAGTGTTTACCAGATGGGTATATTTCAAAAGCAGCATAGGAGAGGCCTACAGGGTTCAAACATTAAAGTAATTAGTCAGATATCGATTGAATTTGAAGTCTTTTTGAATCTGCATCTCCAAGTCTGTATGAAGCATGCTCCAGCTCCTCAGGTCTATTCTTCCAAATCTAGGTCATCTAATTCTTCTTCTAGTTCATCAAGGTCTTCTCCAGTAAAGAGGTTTTCATCTACAGGAACGCCATCGATTTGGCCATCTGATGATTCTCCATCGAATTCACCATCTTCAGCCCCACTGTCGATTCCTCCTGAAGCCTCACCCAATTTATTTTCTGTATCAAATAAAACAGATCTTACTCTTGATCATCTTCATTCAACAGAAAAGATACTGCTGACAATAATGTATTATTGTCCAACATATTCATAAAAAACGTAATAACCAAGAAATTGGGATAATGAGGCAAACTTTTTTTTACAATCAACATAGTAGATGTAGGGCAGTAGATTTTCGTATCACTACATAGTAGTGATATAGAAACTACATTAATAAGGCTCTTGGTAGCTTAGTTCAATACAAAAAGCAATAATTATACTTGTAATTGATTTCCTGTATGGTCAAATGAATCAAGTCAACACCGGGCCCAAATATTACAATTCAGCAAGTAAGCCACTGGCACATTTAAACTGGACTCACCATCTGTATCATTGGATAGTTCTTTGGGTAAATTTACAGAATGTGTTGTTCCTATCCGATCATATCCAGTAGAAACGGTAATGCCAGTTTTATCGATTTCTTGTGGCACAAATCTAGAAATATCAATATCATTGATCTCTGTTGTTTCTTCCACCTGGAAGGAAAACAAATAGTCACAAACTTAGCTCATAGTTCAGAGTAAAACAGTAGCAATGTGTAGAACGGGAGTTACCTCTTCCTCCTCTTCTTCAGGATATTGCGAGTCATCAGCTTCTGCATCATCATCATCGACCAGATCAGGTCGAAATTCAAAGACTTCCCGACCACTCACCTAAAACAATAACAAATAAAACATTTAATACCCTTCAACCAGACTACAAAAATGGCCAGTCTTTCAGAAAGGAAAACATTAATATTAAAACCTACACCAAAAGCTTTGCCAGCTTTGAAATCTGCCTTTCTCTTCTCCATATCTTTTTGTTCTCTCTCAATTTTCTCTTCTCTCTTCCTTTTCTTCCATTGCAAGAAGGTTTCTAGAGTGATTCTCGTGACATCTGGTCCCAAGGCGGCTCGCTTAAAAAACAAAACAAAGTTATTCATTTTTCATCTATGAGAATTAATGGCAAATCAATAAATAGTTCAACTGTTGGAATACATGACTCCGGCATACATTAAACCTTTGCTTCCAGGTAGGTTTGCTCAAAAACTAAAAGAATAGCATCACCATCTGGTGAAGATGTGTATTGCAAATAGTGTTTGGAACAGAAGCTACTGAGAATTGACTAAAATTCAAAAGCTATATATATATACACACACACATACATACCCACAATAAATATAACATTTTACAACAGCAAGCAAGTGGCTTCTTCAGATTGATCTGCCATCTAACTCAAGGGCTCACCAGTGAAATTATACATCATGTTTTATAGTTACCTCCTTTTCTATCAAATCTTCTAATGAAATTTCTTCCTCCTTAGATTCTTTCTTCTGATCTTTTTTTAATACAAAGCCTGGTGGCAACGCATGACGGTATATACAGGTGTCACCTCCTCCAGGACAGGCCCAGAACCAACCGTATTTGTTATTCTCTATGGCTTCAAGGAAATATCTGCATACCTAACAAGGAAACAAGATTGAAACAACGAAGGTTCAACATTCAACTTATTGTAGAACTTAATTCAATGTACACATTCTCTCATACCATAGATAAATAAAACAATAAATAATAATCATTGCAACTGATAAATTGCCTCATCACATCGTTGAAACGTCTCAAAGCACTTCATATTTTGGGGCGAATGTGATAGCTAATTTGCGCACTGCAATGTCCCACAAACAGCCATGGAGTCAGTCACCAATTTTATTTGGGGTGCTGTTGGCCAAGACACCAGGAAAAACTCCCTTCTCTTTTCGAATAGTGCCATAGGATTGTTAACGTCCATCTGAACAAAGCAGACAGGGCCTTGGTTTAACATCTTATCCAAAGGATGAGTGTCAGCATAGACTATATGTGCATCAAGTCCAGACAAGGGTCTTGAACCTACAACCCTATGACACAGAGGTGAGAGTGCTACCATGTATTATTGCCAGCCAGGCTGACACACCAAGTTGCTTCCACAAAGTTCTTCAAAATAGTTATGCAGGTGTAATCTAAAACTTAAAAAGCAACATTCAATTTCTGTTACAAAACAAATCCTGTCCCCCTTCTCCTCATGTTTGTGAGCGCACGCACACACACACACACAGTGTAGAATTTCTGTAACATTAGGTGAAGGCCAGAGAATAGGACAGCAACCTACCTATTCCCTTAATCATGAAATCAGATAGTGTGAAAGTGGAAGGATCTGTCCGACAATTGTGCATATTAGAAGCATTAATAAAACTTACTATTTCAGTTTTTAATTTCTTCTGCTCAGATTCACCATGCTTCTTGTTTATGACCTCTTCAAGTTTCTTTTCATCCCAATTCTCCATTGTGTCTAAAATGGAAGCAAAATAGGTGGTTTCTTTCAATGAGTATGTGAAAAACAGTTATTCAAAATCAATGCAGCATTTAACTTATATCATGGTAGTTAGCACTCCTTGCATTTGATATAACATCTGACGTCAAAAGATCTCAAGAGGCAAGGCAGAGGGATTGAGAGAGTTCCAAAGTTTCAGGCCGTATTGGCTGAAATCACAGGGAGATGAGGAGCAAGGGACAAACAGGAAGCCAGAGCCAGGCGAGTGGAGGCAGCAGGACATGGAGTGGGCAGTAAGCAGGTTGGAGAGGTAGGGAGGTGCCAGGGCATGAAGGGATTTGTAGATGAGTGTGAGGATCTTGAAGTCGATTTGTGATAGGGAGCCAGGAGAGTCTGGCAAGGACTGTTGTGTTGCAGGTATGGAGGAGTTTGGTGAGGATGAGCATTTGGGCAGATATGAAGTATAAATATACTGTTAATCGGATTTTGTGGATAGTGGAGCTGGGGAGACTGGCATTGAGCCATTGGAACAATACTTTTGAATAATAGAAATGTAGAAACATCACAATATCTTGTGAAATACATCAAATAAAGAAGACCCAAATCATTTAATTTTAACCTGGCTAAAGAAGGAGCAGGAGTTTAAGACAATTTTTTTGAAGTTAGTTTCTCTCCCTCCAATAAAAATTCTCTGGTAGAATTCATACAATATGGTAAATAAATCACACAAGGAATCACAACTATACTAAATGAATTGTGCACAAAGTAAATTATAAATAACAAATGTAGTGATTTGATAAGTTACTTTACCCAATATAATTATTCAACATGTGTGGACTGTACAACTCCCTAGATTGCATTAATTGTAAGAATTCCCAAATGGAAAGAAGACAATCCACCCAGTGAAAAAAATGATTCCTCCCTCCAAAATTAACAAACAAGACTTAAGTGAAATTTACTGCCAGTTATTGTACATGAAGGTCTATTTGACAACTTACCCTTTTCAAGGTCTTCGTCTCTGCCGTCATAATAGATACTACGCTTTTCACTCTTCCTTTCCAGAGTCAAGTCATGTGAAAACTTGCATTTGTCACCCTTGGTGCACTGACCTTGTTTGAAAAAAGCACATACCACAGATTTCGGATCGACTCCTAGGAGAAAAAGCAGGTGGAAATCAGAACATGAAGTGCTTCAACAAATTCCAACCTAGCTTATTTTAAAAAATACATATAATATGATTTTCTGTACACTGTTTTTAGATAAAAGTGATGAAACTCAGATGGAGATTCTGATACTCAGATAATTAAGCACTTTCTAAAGCCAGAGATCTCTGAATGCTCATATAAAATAGCTGAAAATTCCATGTACACTACACTGGATAAAAAATACATCAGGCAGGAAAAGATATAAAACAGTTTATACTGGTGTTTACTGATGATTTGTTCCTATGTATAACAACGCAGTTACTGTATTGAAATATTATAGTCCTAGTAACTGCAATCATTTGGTTGCATTGATGGTTAATTGCAGGATCTCATGCAAGCCAGGGCTGTAATCATGGACTGCAAACCACATGCCATTGAAGAAGATGGTTGCAATGCCACCCAGTGGTAAGAAATCAGCGCTAAAAAAACATAGGTTAACAATACTTCACAAGTCACCTATGAAGGGTTTGATCTCAAAATTCATCATTGGAATCCTGTCATTGTTACAGATGAGATTAAAATGTTTCTACTTTGCATTACATTTAGGATTGCCTAGAAATCTCAGCATTATCACAAACATACAGCATATATTTTTAAGGGGGGGAGGGGGTTGACAGTGAGGTGTTTTTTAATGCTTCGGGTTTACTCGAATATCTCAAGGGTGTAAACATTGCCGAGGCCAAAGTCACTAGCTGACTTGTGAAACTCATCTTTCTCCCTACCAAAGTCTCTGAAGGTCTATGAAGAAGTGGAGCGCCAGGAGACTGATACGGTGTGCCATTCCTGCTGGCACGAGGTCTCGCAATGGAGTGTTGTAGTTGCTGCTGAAATAGGAGAAAAAACAATGTGGGAGACAGACAGTGGAAGATAGTGTAAAATTGGGAGACACAGGAAGACACTAGAGGTCAGATAAGAAAGAATAAGGGCAGGCAGAAATCAAAGAACAGATATAGACAGGCAATGAAGGGAACGGGTGTGAAAGATTCCGTGGACAGATAAGAGTTGCGCACTTTCATGGGGAGGAAAAGAACACAAAATATCTAGAATATGCCTTTAAAAGGAGGGAATGGGTAAAAGTTGTATGCTTGTGATAATGCTGGTCTTTATAGAAAGCCTTAGTGGTCTATAGATTCAAGACATTAATAGCATCTTATTTGTGTAAAATTGTACTGGAGTAGTTGGACTGGGGTTGCTCAATCAACGAGTCTTCTGAACACAGCCAGAAAATAAACTATTGTTTTGCATTCAATAAACAGCACAATAGTAATCCCTTTAAATTTTCGTAACAACATTAAACCATTGAGTGCCTACTACCAGATGCTAGCGAACAACTGTAAAATAAACAGCACACAATACAACACAATTCAATAACGGTATTGCAAATAGACCACAAGTGGTTTATCCACCATCTTTTAAAAGAGATGACTCACTAATTACATTTGCAGGATATAATTTTTTAAAAAGGATTGGGTCAATTCACAATGAAAGTAGCTACCAAAAAACATATTTTGATTTTCCAATAAGGATTTTTACACCATACTGCACAAATTATGATATATTACAATTGTCAAGACATCCAATTTAAAACGTTTTCTGATACAAAGATTTCTGAAATCTAGTTAAACTAACACATGAAAACATGAAAATGCACAAAGTGCAAATCTGTACCAATACAAATTAAATCGACGTTCATTTTTTGTAACACAATGTAACCAGCAGTGGTTTCTGTTAGCACAGTAAAGAGAAAGCATTCTAATAATATTTAATAATAATGTTGATTTCACCAGCAATATTTGTGGGATGCTGGACTGGAGAATTTTTTTAAAAAACTTTTAAAAATATATAGAAGAATATGTCGTAGAACTAAAAATGCAATATGTAATTCCAGGTTTGCATACTGGTTTCAAGCACGTACCCCAATATTCACAACATTTGAAGACCGGTTGATAGTCAAACTTATACAAATCTTCCTTTTTGAGTAATCTAAATAGAAGACAGGTAAACCCCATCTCACAAGCATTTCTTCCCAGGAGACACATTAAACACTTTAAATCACATTGCTCAATGTGTGCCCAGGAGGCTGAAAAAGCATCAATATTCAGCCCTTGATACTTTAGGAAATTTTTAAAGATGAGTTACCTTTGTTGACTTTCTGAGCAACTACTACAGGTCTAAAAAGTTCATTCAGCTCTTGGAGCTCTTTCTTCTTATCATCTTTCTTCGATTTCTTGTCTTCACCTGGAAGGACCTAACAAGAGAACATAAATAATCTCACTCAAATGAACATAATGTAAATGAAACACAGAAACCTACAGTATAGAAGGTCATTCAGCCCATCAGGTCCACAATGGTTCACAGAGCAGAACTTTACTTGGCTGCACTAAGATGTAAAACCGATCACCTCACTATTTTATAGCATACAGGATGATCATTGTGCAGTTGTACTTAGACTCCATAAAATGCCAGTTTACCTTATATAATGGGGCATGCTCAAAGACCAGGTGGATCCTGTAGCTTAATGGTTAGAGCGCTCGCCTTGCAAGCGAGAGGACCTGGGTTCGATTCCCGGGCAGGACGAATTGTTGGGCAAGTTTCCTTACTCCACACGTCTCTGTTTGCCTAGCATCAAGTAGGAACCCGGTTAGTCGATTGGCAGATCGCATATCCAGGGGCAATAGTTCATTTAAAAAAATAATTACCAATGTGCAATTGTCTGCCGCATTTTGCCCACAAAATATAGTCAATTCATTTTACAGTATATTCTTTGAAGCGCTTTGAGACGTCTCGAAGATGTGATAAGGCGCTATATCAGGATTATTATATTACATTATTATCATGACTGATGACGTCACTGCCTATGTGCACAGAACGCAACCAAGTGCTCATGTTGTACTGTTTTATTGGTATTTGGAGCCAGTGATTAGATGTGAAGTATGACGAGGGGTTCTGAAGTGCGACGATGGGATCTGAAGTGCAACAATGGTATTTTGATTTTCAGATAACAAAATGGCAAGGTCTATAAGCTAATTGTGTCATAAGCCAACCTCCATTTCATACCCTTGTAAATGTTGCCTTGACATTCAAGTTTACAAATAATGTGATATTGTTAAATATGCTCCACAGACAGCAATATTACCAACGTTCTTGAAATGCAACATGTTAACTACAAGACTTCAATACTTAGTTTGCAGTACATTTTTTGCACCAGTCTGTCCATATTTGACTTGGTTTGTGACGGTTTTGATGAACTTTTGCTGTTTTGCTCCCTTCTTGTTTTTCAGACCAAAGGTTTTATCCTAGAAGAGCAAAAAGTCAACATGAGAAGGATGAACAAAGGAAAACATTCATAGAAACTTTTATATTCTACTAGCTATACCCATCGTAGCTTTGCTTGCAACCAAAGGATCCAATATGGAATGTAGATTGACACACAGAGAGACACACATTTTGTCTTTATCTATATTCAGCTGGGAGGATTCCTGCGGGAGGACTCCTTCAACATATTTTCTCTTAGTCTCTCTCTCAGTTCCATCACAAGACGAGCACCCAACTCGTAAAATACTCAATTTTATCAAAAGTTAACCCGAATAGCTGAACTCTGCACTACGTTTTTAATCCATGAAGGTAGAATAGTCACAGTGGGTTGAATATATGAAGTTTGTGAAAGAAGTCTTGACAGATTGCTTGGCTTCTCTCATTCTTTCTTTTATGTTGTTGGTGTTATAAAGTTAAGTAAAACTAATTTTTGGACAAATTTATATTCAAAATAATTTGGATAAAATGAAAAATCCACATCTTTCTTTCTCTCTTACATGTACATCTGTGTATATCCAGTTGAAAACTTGTTTTCCCCCCTAACCTATAGTCTATCAGGCTAATTATTTGTTCTAGTAGCTCTCATGCTGCACATCTGAACATTTTATCAATGAGCACAATCCCAACTGTTGTTTTGCTCAAGTATCACAGGCACAAGTGCATATACCCTGTATAAGAACCAAAATGGGTAAGAATCCCAATGTACAATGTTTAAGCATGCATTACTTTGCATACCCATCTGTTCCAGTATGAAGTATTACTGGTGAGTGAAAATTAGAAGACAAAAGCAATAAAAATTAGTGTGAATGATTTATCCATTCTAAATCTGTCAAAACTTCATCCACTGGTTGGGATGAATGACACTGCAATTTTACCAACCCTCAATAACTAAGATTGTAAATAATGTCAAGAGTGGATTTATGTTGTGGAGCTGTACTCTTAACATTCAATATAACCAGGACAGCTTCATCCAACCCGCTGATAAAACTATACCAAGGGTACTCATAATCCAACCTACATGGCTGCCTGTGGTCTTCTGTAGATTTAACGTTCCTTAGTTTCTTTGTCTCAATTTAGGACTTTTCAAAAGCAGGATAAATAATAATCCTTGCATTTGATATAGCGCTTTTCATGTCTTCCAGACATCTCAAAGCGCTTCATAGAATATACTGTAAAGTGAATTGACTGTACATTTGTGGACGAAAGCGGCAGGCAATTGCGTACGGCAGCGTCCCACAAACAGTTGTGGACTGAGTGACCAAATCATTATTTATTTATTTTTCCTGAGGGATTATAAGGAAACTGGCCCAAATTTTCGCCCTGCCAGGAATCGAATCCAGGCCTCTCACTCCATAAGGATCCATAAAGAAAGCAAAATTGATAGAATTGAAATTAGACCTTCAATCTTCACCGTGGCCTAATGAAGCACCTGGCTTCCTTCCCACTGCTTGTCCAGGTAGGATACCCTACCGGTTAGGGCTTTGGCTTGCAGGGTTAAAAGGAGATGAGTAAGAAGAGTCCCTGTCCCCGGTGACTGGACTGCTGTCAACATCAGTATCAGACCAGTGGAATCCTGTAGCTCAATGGTAAGAACACTCGCCTCGCAAGCGAGAGACCTGGGTTCGATTCCCGACAGGCTGAAACGTTGGGCAAGTTTCCTAACTCCACACGCCTCTGTTTACCTAGCAGTAAGTAGGAACCTGGTTGTTAGTCGATCGGCGGATCGCTTTCTGCAGGTAATAATTCCTTTAAAATAATAATAATAATTTGGTCACTCAATCCATGACTGTTTGTGGGACACCGCTGGGCGCAATTGGCTGCCTCGTTTCGCTCACAAAATACACAGTCAATCCACTTTACAGTATATTCCGTGAAGCCCTTTGAGACGTCTAGAAGACGATTCTGACATTCTGTTGCCAAACATGTCACCTTGGAGCCAGTTTAACTCCCAGGGAAGACTCCACTGAACTCCTCCAAACCCCTCCCCCCCCCTCCCCAAGCAGGTTACTGCGAGCGAGCGAGCGAGAGAGAGAGGAGTCCAACTTACAGGGAAGGAGTCCAAAACTCAACACCGCGCATTAAGAAAGAGGCAGGTTCCCATAAGCAGAGATGTCAAGTGCTTCTCGTGCCTCAACTCCATTTTAAAACGAGTTTTAAACACAGTGTGTGTGTGGTGTGTGTGTGGTGTTCCCCATATGCTCACAGACATACAGACTGACAGACAGACAGATAAACATATAACAACATCAAATAAAGCAGCTGCTTTGCTATTCACAGCCACATCGCGAGCATAAAACAAAACATCGGGTGGCGACTGTCATGTAACCAAAGCGATGCGAGCGGGTCACGGCGCTGCCATTTTGTGTGGGGGCTGATGAGGGGGAGAGAGAGAGAGAGAGAGAGAGGGGGGGGGGGGAGAGGGGGGAATAAAAACAGAAACAGGCAGCCCCGCATCTCTGGACCGGAGAAGGAAAGGGAGTTGAACGTGTCACTCGGTGGTCCCTTCACTTGTCACAGCTCAGGGCGACCTCCAACCGTTTCCACTCCTTAAATCCGGTAACGCGAGAGCGAGGCCCGGGGGCCGGGACCCGGGGCCCGGGGGGGGGGGGAGACCGGGAGCGGCTCGGAGCCTCTCACCTCAGGCGACACCAGGAGTGAGACGCCGCCATTATTCGGAGGGAGGAGGAGGCGGGAAGCGGGAAGCGAGAGGCCGAGGCTCTCCCTCCCGGCGCCGGTCCCAACTGAGCGGCCCAAGGCCCCCTCTTTCTTTTTTTTCCTTCCTTTCCCCCCCCCCCTTCTCTCTCTCTTTCTCCCGCTCACCTCTATGATCTTCTCTTTCTTCTTCTGCTCGATCTTCTTGCTGGGCTGGCTGGAGGTTTTCTTGGGGGGCATGGCCCTGCCTCGCGCTGCCTCCCTGTCTCTCTCTCTCTCTCTCTCGCTCGCGCCGCCGCCGCCGCCGCCACCGGAAGTGCGTCGCCCGCCTTCCCGCCCGCAGGCTTCTGGGTAAACGTGGGCTGGGCTGGACCGGACTGGTTCCCCCGGCAACAGGGAGAGCGTGTGTGAGCGAGAGAGAGAGTGAGATAGAAAGAGAGTGAGATAGAGAGAGAGTGATAGAGAGAGTGAGAGATAAGAGAGTGTGTGATAGAGAGTGTGTGATAGAGAGATAGAGAGTGTGTGTGATAGAGTGAGATAGAGAGTGTGTGTGATAGAGTGTGTGTGATAGTGTGTGTGATAGAGTGTGTGTGTGATAGAGAGTGTGTGTGATAGAGAGTGTGTGTGATAGAGAGTGTGTGTGATAGAGAGTGTGTGTGATAGAGAGAGTGAGAGATAGAGAGAGTGAGAGAGAGAGTGTGTGATAGAGAGAGTGAGAGATAAGAGAGTGTGTGATAGAGAGTGTGTGATAGAGAGAGATAGAGAGTGTGTGTGATAGAGTGAGATAGAGAGTGTGTGTGATAGAGTGTGTGTGATAGAGTGTGTGTGTGATAGAGTGTGTGTGTGATAGAGAGTGTGTGTGATAGAGAGTGTGTGTGATAGAGAGTGTGTGTGATAGAGAGTGTGTGTGATAGAGAGAGTGAGAGATAGAGAGAGTGAGAGATAGAGAGAGTGAGAGAGAGTGAGAGAGAGAGTGTGTGATAGAGAGAGTGAGAGATAGAGAGATGGAGAGTGTGTGTGATAGAGAGAGTGTGTGATAGAGAGAGTGAGAGATAGAGAGTGTGTGATAGAGAGAGATAGAGAGTGTGTGTGTGATAGAGAGTGTGTGTGATAGAGAGTGTGTGTGATAGAGAGTGTGTGTGTTAGAGAGAGTGAGAGATAGAGAGAGTGAGAGAGAGAGTGTGTGATAGAGAGAGTGAGAGATAGAGAGATGGAGAGAGTGTGTGATAGAGAGAGTGAGAGATAGAGAGTGTGATAGAGTGAGAGATAGAGAGTGTGTGATAGAGAGAGTGTGTGATAGAGAGAGTGTGTGATAGAGAGAGTGTGTGATAGAGAGAGTGTGTGATAGAGAGAGTGTGTGATAGAGAGAGTGAGAGATAGAGAGAGTGAGAGATAGAGAGAGTGAGAGATAGAGAGAGTGAGTGATAGAGAGTGAGAGATAGAGAGAGTGAGAGATAGAGAGGGTGAGAGATAGAGAGGGTGAGAGATAGAGAGGGTGAGAGATAGAGAGGGTGGGAGATAGAGAGGGTGGGAGAGTGTGTGATAGAGAGGGTGGGAGAGTGTGTGATAGAGATAGAGAGAGAGTGATAGAGTGGGTGAGAGAGATAGAGAGAGTGAGAGAGGTAGAGAGAGTGTGTGATGGAGTGGGTGAGAGTGAGAGATAGAGAGAGTGTGTGATCCAGAGAGTGAGAGTGATAGAGAGTGTGTGATAGAATGGGTGATAGAGATAGAGTGATAGAGAGAGAGAGAGTGATAGAGAGAGAGTGATAGAGAGAGAGAAAGAGATAGAGAGAGGTTATTATTTATTATTATAGTGATAGAGTAATAGAGAGAGTGATAGAGAGAGAATGAGTGACAGAGAGAGGGTGATAGAGTGTGTGATAGAGAGAGAGAGTGTGATAGAGTGTGATAGAGAGAGTGTGTGATAGAGAGAGAGAGAGATTGAGAGAGAGTGATTGAGAGAGTGATCGAGAGAGAGCGTGATCGAGAGAAAGTGTGTGATAGAGAGTGATAAAGAGAGAGTGATAAAGAGAGAGTGATAGAGAGCGAGTGATAGAGAGAGTGTGATAGAGTAATAATAATAATCCTTGCATTTGATATAGCTCTTTTCACGCCTTCTCGACGTCTCAAAGCACTTCACAGAATAGACTGTAATGTGAATTGACTGTATATTTTGTGGGCGACTTGCGGCAGCCAAATTGCGCACAGCAGTGTCCCACAAACAGTCGTGGATTGAAGTGACCAATTTATTATTGTTTTTTTTCTTGAGGGATTATTATTAGGCGTGTGGAGTAAGAAAACTTGCTCAAGAGTGTGTGTAATATATAGAGACAGAGTCGTAGAGAGAGTGTGATAGTGTGTGATAGAGATAGCGTGATAAAGAGAGTGTAATACAGAGAATGTGTGTGATAGAGAGTGTGTGTGTGTGATAGTGTGTAATAGAGTGATAGAGAGTGTAAGAGAGAATGTGTGTGATAGAGTGTGTAATAGAGCATGTATGTTTGTGATAGATAATGTGTAAGAGAGTGTTATTAGTGTGTGCCAGAGAGTATTATCACTGAGTGTGTAATAGGGAAACTGTGTGTGATAGAGTGTAATATAGTGTGTGATAGAGCAAGTGTCAGTGTGATAGAGTAATAGAGAGAATGTGAGTGATAGTGTGATAGAGAGTGTGGGTGATAGTGTGTAATGTAGAGAGTGTGTGTAATGTAGAGAATGTATGTGTTAAGGAGAAAGGGGGGGTGGGGAGCTGGGCCCCTGGCGACAACAATTAGAGAGAGAGAGAAATAAAGAATGTGATAGAGAGTTATATATAGAGAGAGAGAGGGCTGGATACTATGGCAACAACAATTAGAGAGAGAGAAATAGTAATGTGATAGAAAGTGTGTGTGTGTTATGGAGTGACAGACGGAGAGAGGGATAGAGAGACACAAAGAGAGAGTGATTGAGAGACAGAGAGAGTGATAGAGCGACACAGAGATTGTGTTTGATAAAGAGAGACAAGTGATACGCAGAGTGACAGAGAGCGATTGAGAGGCAAAGTTGTCAGCTTGGCGCAGTGGTAGCACTCGCCTCCGAATCAGAAGGTTGTGGTTTCAAACCCCATGTGGGGACTTGGAATCACATTAGAGCTGAGACTCCACTGCAGTGCTGGGGGTGTGCTGAATTGTCGGAGGTGCCGTCCTGTGGATGAGATATTAACCTGAGGTCCTGTCTGCCTGTTCAGATGGACGTTAAAGATCCCATGGCAGTATTCGAAAGAGAAGGGAGCTTCTGGGAATTTACTGGGAATTCTATTGCAAATTCATACCACCAAAGGTCAATTACGGTTATTTTTGGTGGCCGGAAAGCCTCACGCTCCAGTCACCGTAAAATAACTGCACTCCCCAATTAAATTCCAACTTCCATAGCCCATTACAGTGCGATTTATAAGGTCTACCACAAGGTGGCAGAAAGAGATAGTATTTGCAGATATTGCTACGCGGGTATTGGGCTATTTGCCTTTAAAGCTATTCTAAAGGTTTTATAATAATCCTTGCATTTGAGCTGTTGTTTTCAGCTGACACACAGTGATATAAATAAAGGCTGATTGGGCTGAAGATCTGGTCCCCAAAAACCCAACTTCCTTAATTTTTAGCATTCAATCAAAGTGGTTTGTGTATTTAGTTATAATAATAATTATAATAATCCTCGCATTAGTTATAGTGCCTTATCCCATCATCAAGACATCTCAAAGGGATTCACAGAATATACGCTAATGTTGGATTGTCTGCAATTTGCGAGCGAAAGAGTTGCCTCTAACGGTTTCTCCTCCAGCCCCCGCACTGTCACGTCTGGCGTCCCCAGGGCTCTGTCCTTGGCCCTCTCTTTAATATCTACATGCTCCCTCTTGGTGACATCATTCGCAGACATGGGGTCAACTTTCACATGTATGCGGATTACACCCAACTCTATCTTTCTGCCTCCAACCTCAATTCCAGGCCCACCCCTGTCCTGACAGACTGCCGTCGGACATCAAGTCCTGAATGATGGCAAATTTCCTACAGTTGAATGTGAACAAGACTGAGGCCCTCCTGATTGGCTCGCGCCAGCGCTTCAGCACCTCAGGCTCTGGCAACATCAACCTCCATGGTTGCACACTACAACTCACCAGCCAGTCAGGAACCTCGGTGTCTTGTTCGACCCTCAACTGTCTTTTCTTCCCCACATCCAAGCCATGACCCGCTCTGCCTTCCCTCACCTCCGTAACATCGCCGGATTCCGCCACCGCCTCACCTCTCAGACCACTGAAACTCTTATTCATGCCTTCATCACCTCCAGCCTCGACTATGCAAATGCCCTGCTTGTCGGCCTTCCCAACTCCTCCCTCCACACACTGCAGATAATCCAGAACTCTGCAATCCGTGTCCTCTCCCACACCAAACTCTGTGACCCCATCTCCCTCATTCTCGCCCGACTCCATTGGCTCCCTATCCTTCAGAGGATCCAGTTCAAGATCCTGGTCCTCACCTACAAGCCCTCCATGGCCTCGCCCCATCCTACCTTTGCGACCTCCTAACCCACTATCAACCTGCCCGCTCCCTCCGCTCAGCCAGCTCTGGCCTGCTCCAAATCCCCCGACCCACCCGCCCCACCATAGGCGGGAGAGCCTTCAGCCACTCTGCCCCCAACCTCTGGAAATCCATCCCCCAATCACTCCGCCTCGCCTCTTCCTTAGCCTCCTCCAAGTCCAGCCTCAAAACCATCCTCTTTGACCATGCCATCGGTCACCCCCTTCCCCTCCTCTCCCTTCTCCCTCCCTGACCCCAGCTCGGGTCTGAAATGCTGTACACTGACCAGAGCCTTGGGAAGTCCTTCCGACGTGAAAGGCTCTATACAAATGTAATCTTGTTGTTGTAAGACACATTCCAAAATTAATTAATTTAACTTTGAAGCCTGCCTTCAAAACCACCTACAGAGTTGGTCACAGATGCAAATTGATGCAGGTGGCTTCAGTACAATTGAACCCTGTGAAACACTGATGTAAGTTCTCTCCTCCCCACTGGATCATGATATCCCAAAGACTTTTAAAAAAAAATGGCAACATTTACATTTATTTCAATGGCAGTAATAATAATAATCCTTGCATTTAATATAGTGCCTTATCACATCATTGAGACGTTTCAAAGCGCTTCACAGAATATACTCTAAAGAGAATTGACTGTATATTTTGTGGGCGAAACACACACAAGTAGGAATCCACTGAAAAGTCATTGGTGGGATCTGACAGTATAAATGTGATCTGTCCACTTGCAATATTGCACTTGCAGCTATACATAACAGAAAAAAA